CAACAACAACAACAACAACGACAACAACAACAACGACAACAACAACAACAACGACAACGACATCACCAACAACAGCATCAACAACAACAGCAACAACAACAACAACGACGACAACAACAACAACGACAACAACAACAACGACAACAACAACAACGACAACAAAAACAACAACAGCACCAACAACAACAACCAACAACAACAACAACAACAACAACAACAAGGAGAAGCGACTGCACCACCGCCAGGGACCGCCAGCTGGAGGAGACGAGGGGGCAGCTCGGGGAGGCACCGTGGGCCTGCTCCCTGGAGGAGCCCCCCTGGTGGTGATGGTTCGGCGGCGAAGTGAGAAGGAGAAGGCCTTCTCAGAAGGCGGCGGGACTTCTCAGAAACCCTGGCGCTTTCTGACGAGGCTTCTGCGTCTTCGGAGAAGGCTTCGGGAACTCCTCGGAAGGCCGGGGTACTTGCGAGCCTTCTGAGAAGGCCCGCCCCGTCTCGCTTCCCCCCTAGGCTCGCCGCCGAATGGTGGCACCGTAGGGGCACCGTAGGGGTATGAACTTTTCAGCCGCCCAAGGACAGGCGCCCCCGACATCGAAAAAGTATATGTTATACCGTTCTTCGCTCGCTGAATTGGATCCTAAGGCCGTTGCCACTGCGACTGTCATTGCGAATGCGACTGCGACTGCGAGAACAGCAGAATTCTACAACTGGATTCCCACCTGAATCTTAAAGGGAATGCTTCCAGATATGCGTATACACATCGCTGTTAGGTTGCTTTGCCGGGATAATCTTCTCCTGTAGAGGGACAGGCCCGCCTTAAGTCTGGGGACCTCCGACTTATCCAGTCCCCCGAGGCCATGATTTTTCCAGGGCCTGGTCAGGGCCCCTGGAGACCGACAATCCTGATTTGCTCGTCGTTCGTCGTCGTCATCGTTGTGATCTTTTCATTTCCTCCGTCGCCAGAGGGCGACAAACCTCCTGTCGTCATTTGTTGCCGCGACGCGAGGGAGTCTGGGGTTAGGTCGGGCACGTCCTCCAATAGGCGGGTTTTGGACGAAACAACAGAGCTCCAAAATATTCAAAACGAATCAGAATTACGCTACCGAAGAACCCCACATACTTAATTTAAATATGATGTGCTTGCTTATGTTTTGAATGCATGCGCAATCCTGCGTTCTGAGCCCTCGTCGCGAATGTTTCCCCATGTGTCATCCAACGCCATATTGCTTGCTACGCTTTGCGAGCCCGCAACGGATAGGGAGACCACCTTCAGCGCACCCCCTGTCGTGTCGAGGAAGTGCCACGCCCGCCACGCTCTGCGAGCCCGCAACGGATTAGGATACCACCCCCAGCGCACTCCCTGTGGTGTCGAGGAAGTGCCACGCCTGCCACGCTTTGCGAGCCCGCAACGGATAGGGAGACCACCCCCAGCGCCCCCCCCTTGTGGTGTCGAGAAAGTGCCACGCCTGCCACGCTTTGCGAGCCCGCAACGGATAAGGATACCACCCCTAGCGCACCCCCTGTGGTGTCGATGAGGTGCAACGCCTGCCACGCTTTGCGAGCCCGTCAAGGATAGGGAGACCAACCCCAGCGCATCCCCTGTGGTGTCGGGGAAGTGCCACGCCTGCCACGCTTTGCGAGCTCGCAGCGGATAAGGATACCATCCCCAGCGCACCCCCTGTGGTGTCGAGGAGATGCCACGCGTGCCACGCTTTGCGAGCCCGTCAAGGATAGGGAGACCAACCCCAGCGCAACCCCTGTGGTGCCGAAGAAGTGCCACGCCTGCCATGCTTTGCGAGCCCGTCACGGATAGGGTGACCACCCCCAGCGCACCCCTGGTGGGGCCGAGGAAGTGCCACGCCTGCCACGCTGTGCGAGCCCGCAACGGATAGGGAGACCACCCTCAACGCGCCCCCTGTGGTGTCGAGGAAGTGCCACGCCTGCCACGCTTTGCGAGCCCGCAACGGATAGGGAGACCACCCCCAGCGCACCCCCTGTGGTGTCGATGAGGTGCAACGCCTGCCACGCTTTGCGAGCCCGAAACGGGTAGTGTCCCCACACACAGCTCCCCCCTGTGGTGTCGAGGAAGTGCCACGCCTGCCACGCTTTGCGAGCCCGAAACGGATAGCGTCCCCACCCACACCTCTCCCCCCTGTGGTGTCGAGGACGTGCCCCGCCAGCCACGCTTTGCGAGCCCGAAACGGATAGCCTCCCCACCCACAGCTCCCCCCCTGTGGTGTCGAGGAAGTGCCACGCCTGCCACGCCTTGCGAGCCCGAAACGGATAGTGTCCCCACCCACAGCTCCCCCCTGTGGTGTCGAGGAAGTGCCACGCCTGCCACGCTTTGCGAGCCCGAAACGGATAGCGTCCTCACCCACAGCTCCCCCCCTGTGGTGTCGAGGAAGTGCCACGCCAGCCCGAAACGGATAGCGTCCCCATCCACATCTCCCTCCCTGTGGTGTCGCGGAAGTGCCACGCCTGCCACGCTTTGCGAGCCCGAAACGGATAGCGTCCCCACCCACAGCTCCCCCCTGTGGTGTCGAGGAAGTGCCACGCCTGCCACGCTTTGCGGGCCCGAAACGGATAGCGTCCCCACCCACAGCTCCCCCCCTGTGGTGTCGAGGAAGTGCCCCGCCTGCCACGCTTTGCGAACCCGAAACGGATAGCGTCCCCACCCACAGCTCCCCCCCTGTGGTGTCGAGGAAGTGCCACGCCTGCCACGCTTTGCGAGCCCGAAACGGATAGCGTCCCCACCCACAGCTCCCCCCCTGTGGTGCCGAGGAACTGCCACGCCTGCCACGCTTTGCGAGCCCGAAACGGATAGCGTCCCCACCCACAGCTCCCCCCCTGTGGTGTCGAGGAAGTGCCACGCCTGCCACGCTTTGCGAGCCCGAAACGGGTAGCGTCCCCACCCACAGCTCCCCTCCTGTGGTGTCGAGGAAGTGCCACGCCTGCCACGCTTTGCGAACCCGAAACGGATAGCGTCCCAACCCACAGCTCCCCCCCTGTGGTGTCGAGGAAATGCCATGCCTGTGCCACGCCTGTGCCACGCCTGTGCTGTGCTGTGCTGTGTTGTGTGCTGTGCTGTGCTGTGCTGTGCTGCGGTGAGCTGTGCTGGGCTGTGCTGTGCTGTGCTGTGCTGAGCTTAGCTGAGCTGCGCTGTGCTATGCTGAGCTGAGCTGTGCTGTGCTGTGCTGTGCTGTGTGCTGTGCTGTGCTGTGCTGTGCTGTGCTGCGGTGAGCTGTGCTGTGCTGCGCTGTGCTGTGCTGTGCTGAGCTGAGCTGAGCTGAGCTGTGCTAAGCTGTGCCGTGCTGAGCTGAGCTGAGCTGAGCTGTGCTGAGCAGTGCTGTGAGGAGGAGGGGAGGTGTGAGGTGAGACGCGGGTGCGACGCGGCAGGGAAGAAAACCAGAACCCCACTAAGCATGTGGGGAACTAGTCAAATGAATCGTCCCCAGACTATTTGGGGGAGTATGTATATATATATATATATATATATGTATTCCTCCTGTAGAAGGACACGCCCGACTCAATCGGCTACACGCAAGAGTGACCCTGCGCACGAGTGACCTTTCGTGCGCGGCTTAGCGCGGGCCGGCGCGGGGCCAAGCACAGGCGCGCAAGCCGCCGCCAACGTCTCGCACTGGGCGAGTTTCGGCGACTGGGGGGCTCCATTGCGCCCGCACCCAAGAAGGTCACTCCGGCCAAGGGTCACTCTTACGTGAAGCCGACTGAAAGATCTGCGGTTCAGTCGGGCCGGTCTCCCTACAGGGGGGATTCTGGGCGAAGCATCAAACATACCCCAAAGAAACCCCCCAAATACCCAGAAATGGTCAGAAAATCGTCCCCTGACTATTTTCGGACTACTTGTGAATTCTTCTCCTGTAGAGGGACAGGCCCGCCTTACGTCTGGGGACCTCCGACTTATCCCGACTCCCGAGGCCATGACTTTTTCATTACGTCGACCCCAAAAGGTCTCGACCCATTCCCCGGGACCGGGTTTTCGTCCTGAGTCGTTTTTTGACGGTCCCGAGGCCCGGGAAGGGCCCTCCAAGGGCTGAACATAGCAAAAAACATTCCGTCATGACTTTCCCATTGCCCCGGGGGGTCTGGGTAAGTCTGGGGACCTCGAGCTCGGCGGGCGCCTGGCCCGGGGGATGTCGGGCGAAAGAAAATACACCAACAATACCCCCCAAAAAGCGCACGAAGTGTAGCAAAATCGTCCCCCTAATATTTTTGACTATGTTTGAATACCCCTCCTGTGCAATCGGGCTGCTGAAATAAGGAACGCTAAATGAGGAACAAAGCCCTTCTGCGGCTTCACAAAGCCTGGGTGCACGACACGGGCTAGAGGAACCACCACGGAGGGACGCATGAGACATCGAGCCCCCTCCGAATCCAAGCTGCTCCTTCCCTCAGCGTCTTGGCTGCAGGGGGACCGGCCCGACGCCAGTCTGGTTTGGACGCCCGAAATGGGTACGGAAAAAATGGGTACAATGCCCAACAGCAAACGCTGTCCCAAACCAGCAGCGGCCGCTGCTGGGCAGGCGGCCTTCCGCCTCAGATGGACACGCATGCCGCGGCGGCGCGGACAACGAGTCCTGTTCAGAAGGAACAGGACCTGCTGTTGGGCCTTGTGCCCGATCTTTCCGTACCCATGACGGTCGGGCAGACCGTCATGGGTGAGGTGAGGTGAGGAGGAGGTGAGGTGGAGGAGGAGGAGGAGGTGAGGTGGAGGAGGAGGAGGAGGAGGAGGGGAGGAGAGAGGAGGAGGAGAAGGAGGAGGGGGGAGGGGGATGGGGAGGAAGGAGGAGAGGAGGAGGAGGGCAGGAGGAGGAGCAGGAGGGGGAGGGGGAGAGGAGGAGGGGGAGGAGGGAGAGGAGGAGGAGGAGGAGGAGGAGGAAGAGGAGGAGGAGGAGGAGGAGAAGGAGAGGAGGATGGGGAGGATGAGGAGGAGGAGGAGGAAGAGGAGGAGGGGGGGCCGGCGGGGGCCCGGCGGGGGGCGCCTGGCGGGCGGCCCGCACCTCCGCGCCCTCCGCGCCCGCGGCCTCGGCGTCCTGCAGCGCCGCCTGGGCGCTCCGCGGGCGGGGCGGGGGGCGCCCTCCGCCCGGGAGGGCGGGCGGGGGGCGCCCGGAGGCGCCCCGCGCGCGCGAGGGCCAAGCCAGGCGCTGCCCCCGAGGCCCAGACCCCCTCGGGTCGGAGACTCCAATTTCCTTGAGAACGGAGACGCGCGCTATTGTGCCCTATCGGGGCGCGAGGCGTTCCAAACTTCGAGACTAGCCATCCTGTTCGATCAGATCTTCCCGCTCTACTCCGAAATATATCAGCCCCACTACACTCATCGGGCTAACGTCGACACTAACCCAAGCTACGCTCGCCTCGATCGAACTTATACGAGTCTACCCAGTGCTGTCATCATCGACTTAAGCCTTGCCTCATGACAAGAATCACGACGAAAAACTCTCCGTTATCCTCAGCCGCTGGGACCCCTTCCCGGGCCTCGGGACCGTGTCCGGGGGTGCTGCCATCTTTTCGCTACGTCGGATCTCAGCGTTGGGTCATGTGCAAAAACCACGACGGGAGGTTTTTTCACGACTTTCGACCTCTGTGGGGCGGGACGCCCCTTCCCGGGCCTCGGGACCGTCAAAAAGCGACGTCGGGAGGGGAAACCGGTCCCAGGGAATGGGTCCGCGTCATGAACAAATCATGACGTCGGGGGTCTGGGGATCTTGGCGCCTCCACCATCTCGCAGCGGGGCGTGTCTTCGCCCTTTTGGTTCTGCTCGGGCCCCTCGGAACCCTGGCAGATCGGTCTCGGCGCGAAAAGGTGACGCAGACAGACGGTGTCCAGGGCGTTCGCTGCCCCTGAGATCCTGGCGCCTCCACCATCTCGCAGCGTGGCGTGTCTTCGCCTTTTCGTTCTGCTCGGGCCCCTCGGGACCCTGGCAGATCGGTCTCGGCGCGAAAAGGTGACGCAGACAGACGGTGTCCAGGGCGTCGATGCCCCTGAGATCCTGGCGCCTCCATCATCTCGCAGCGGGGCGTGTCTTCGCCTTTTCGTTCTGCTCGGGCCCCTCGGGACCCTGGCAGACCGGTCTCGGCGCGAAAAGGTGACGCAGACAGAAGGTGTCCAGGGCGTTCGCTGCCCCTGAGATCCTGGCGCCTCCACCATCTCGCAGCGGGGCGTGTCTTCGCCATTTCGTTCTGCTCGGGCCCCTCGGGATCCTGGCAGATCGGTCTCGGCGCGAAAGGTGACGCAGACGGACGGTGTCCAGGGCGTCCGGCGTGCCCCTGAGATCCGGCCGCTCCACAATCTTCGCAGCGGGGCGTGTCTTCGCCTTTCGTTCTGTCGGGCCTGTCGGGACCCTGGCAGATCGTTCCGCGGCGGCGGAAAAGGGACGCAGACAGACGGTGTTGTCAGGCGTTCGCTGCCCCTGAGATCCTGCGACTCCCACCATCTCGCAGCGGGTCGTGTCTTCGCCCTTTCGTTCTGACCGGCCCTCGGACCCTGGAAGATCGGTTCTCGGCGCGAAAAGGACGCAGACAGACGCGTGTCAAGGGCGTTCGCTGCACCTGAGAATCCTGGCGCTCCACCATCTCGCAAACGGGCGTTGTCTTCGCCTTTCTGTTCTGCTCGGGCCCCTTCGGGACCCTGGCAGATCGGTCTCGGCGCGAAAAGGTGACGCAGACAGACGTTGTCCAGGGCGGTCGCTGCCCCTGAGATCCTGGCGCCTCCACCATCTCGCAGCGGGGCGTGTCTTCGCCCTTTCGTGCTGCTCGGGCCCCATCGGGGCCCTGGCAGATCGGTCTCGGCGCGAAAAGGTGACGCAGACAGACGGTGTCCAGGGCGTTCGCTGCCCCTGAGATCCTGGCGCCTCCGCCATCTCGCAGCGGGGCGTGTCTTCGCCGTTTCGTTCTGCTCGGGCCCCTCGGGACCCTGGCAGATGGGTCTCGGCGCGAAAAGGTGACGCAGACAGACGGTATCCAGGGCGGTCGCTGCCCCTGAGATCCTGGCGCCTCCCCATCTCGCAGCGGGGCGTGTCTTCGCCCTTTCGTTCTGCTCGGGCCCCTCGGGACCCTGGCAGATCGGTCTCGGCCCGAAAAGGTGACGCAGACAGACGGTGTCCAGGGCGTTCGCTCCCCCTGAGATCCTGGCGCTTCCACCATCTCGCAGCGGGGCGTGTCTTCGCCCTTTCGTTCTGCTCGGGCCCCCCGGGACCCTGGCAGATCGGTCTCGGCGCGAAAAGGTGGCGCAGACAGACGGTGTCCAGGGCGTTCGCTGCCCCTGAGATCCTGGCGCCTCCACCATCCCGCAGCGGGGCGCGTCTTCGCCCTTTCGTTCTGCTCGGGCCCCTCGGGACCCTGGCAGATCGGTCTCGGCGCGAAAAGGTGACGCAGACAGACGGTGTCCAGGGCGTTCGCTGCCCCTGAGATCCTGGCGCCTCCACCATCTCGCAGCGGGGCGTGTCTTCGCCCTTTCGTTCTGCTCGGGCCCCTCGGGACCCTGGCAGATCGGTCTCGGCGCGAAAAGGTGACGCAGACAGACGGTGTCCAAGGCGTTCGCTGCCCCTGAGATCCTGCCGCCTCCACCATCTCGCAGCGGGGCGTGTCTTCGCCCTTTCGTTCTGCTCGGGCCCCTCGGGACCCTGGCAGATCGGTCTCGGCGCGAAAAGTGGCGCAGACAGACGGTGTCCAGGGCGTTCGCTGCCCCTGAGATCCTGCCGCCTCCACCATCTCGCAGCGGGGCGTGTCTTCGCCCTTTCGTTCTGTTCGGGCCCCTCGGGACCCTGGCAGATCGGTCTCGGCGCGAAAAGGTGACGCAGACAGACGGTGTCCAGGGCGTTCGCTGCCCCTGAGATCCTGGCGCCCCCACCATCTCGCAGCGGGGCGTATCTTCGCCCTTTCGTTCTGCTCGGGCCCCTCGGCACCCTGGCAGATCGGTCTCGGCGCGAAAAGGTGACGCAGACAGACGGTGTCCAGGGCGGTCGCTGCCCCTGAGATCCTGGCGCCTCCACCATCTCGCAGCGGGGCGTGTCTTCGCCCTTTCGTTCTGCTCGGGCCCCTCGGGGCCCTGGCAGATCGGTCTCGGCGCGAAAAGGTGACGCAGACAGACGGTGTCCAGGGCGGTCGCTGCCCCTGAGATCCTGGCGCCTCCACCATCTCGCAGCGGGGCGTGTCTTCGCCCTTTCGTTCTGCTCGGGCCCCTCGGGACCCTGGCAGATCGGTCTCGGCGCGAAAAGGTGACGCAGACAGACGGTGTCCAGGGCGGTCGCTGCCCCTGAGATCCTGGCGCCTCCACCATCTCGCAGCGGGGCGTGTCTTCGCCCTTTCGTTCTGCTCGGGCCCCTCGGGACCCTGGCAGATCGGTCTCGGCGCGAAAAGGTGACGCAGACAGACGGTGTCCAGGGCGGTCGCTGCCCCTGAGATCCTGGCGCCTCCACCATCTCGCAGCGGGGCGTGTATTCGCCCTTCCGTTCTGCTCGGGCCCCTCGGGGCCCTGGCAAATCGGTCTCGGCGCGAAAAGGTGACGCAGACAGACGGTGTCCAGGGCGGTCGCTGCCCCTGAGATCCCGGCGCCTCCGCCATCTCGCAGCGGGGCGTGTCTTCGCCCTTTCGTTCTGCTCGGGCCCCTCGGGGCCCTGGCAGATCGGTCTCGGTGCGAAAAGGTGACGCAGACAGACGGTGTCCAGGGCGGTCGCTGCCCCTGAGATCCTGGCGCCTCCGCCATCTCGCAGCGGGGCGTGTCTTCGCCCTTTCGTTCTGCCCGGGCCCCTCGGGACCCTGGCAGATCGGTCTCGGCGCGAAAAGGTGACGAAGACAGACGGTGTCCAGGTCCAGGGCGGTCGGCTGCCCCCTGAGATCCTGGCGCCTCCACATCTCGCAGCGGGGCGTGTCTTCACCCTTTCCGTTCTGCCGGGCCCCTCGGGACCCTGGCCGATCGGTCTCGGCGCGAAAAAAAAGGTGACCGACAGGCAGGACGGTGGTCCAGGGCAGTCGCTTGCCCCCTGGAAATCCTGGCGCCTCCACCATCTCGCAGCGGGGCGTGTCTTCGCCCTTTCGTTCTGCTCGGGCCCCTCGGGACCCTGGCAGATCGGTCTCGGCGCGAAAAGGTGACGCAGACAGACGGTGTCCAGGGCGGTCGCTGCCCTTGAGATCCTGGCGCCTCCACCATCTCGCAGCGGGGCGTGTCTTCGCCGTTGTTTTTCCTCTGGCTCCATGGGGCCCCAGCAGATCGGACCGGCTCGAAGAGCGACGCCGAGAGATGGTGTCCAGGGCTCAGGGCGTGACTCATCGATCGCGACGTTGCAGTGTTTTTTGCTACGTCGGATCTCGTTCGTCGTGAAAGAAAATCAAGATCCCTGGGGAACCGTCCGGAGCACTTCCCTGGGGAACCGCTCGAATCCTTAGGAATCGCTCGGATCTATAGAAATCCCTCGCACTTCCCTCGGATCCCTAGGAATCTCTCAAGAGCTTCTGAGTGCGACGGGAAAGATTTAACCGTTTTCGGCCTCCGAGGGGCCCTCGCCAGTCCCCAGGGCCGTCAACAAAACAACCCGGGATGAAAAACCGACCCCGGGGAAAGGGTCGGGCGACCGGCATTGAAACCAACCAGACATCCCTATCCCTGGGCCTCGAGCTTATCCCTATCCCTATAACACCGACAAACCCAGAGGTGCTGACAAAAATTACGAATGCGCCTCAGAACCTGAGGGAATCCTTAAGATCGGCGATGCCAGCCATAAGGATGGGGATATGTTCCGGGCTGGGAACCCAGACATGCGACGCCCTGATTTTTTCAGAACGGCGTCCCCGGAAGTCCCGACCGTTTCCCCAGGACCAGTTTTTCGTCCTGAGTCGTTTTTTGACGGTCCCGAGGCCCAGCGAGGGCCCCCCAGGGCCGAAAATAGCGAAAACCGCCCGTCATGATTTTTTCATTGCCCGAGGGGGTCTGGGTTACAGGCTGGTAAGACATGTTCGCGTCGTGAACTTGGCCTTGGGGCGATGGCCGACGCGCGTCCGCGGAGAGGCCCGCGGACGCGGGGCGCCTGGCAAGCTCGGAGGGCGATCGCGCTCGACCGGTGCCGAGTCTCGAAAGGAGGGGCGCGAGGTCGCCTCGCCTCCCGTGGCTGCGTCGGGCCCGAAGGAAACTCGTGACCTGGAGGTACCCAAGGATCCTGGAATATGATTGCTTTCGCAGTCGGCAACTTCGCCAGCTTCCGGGCCCCAGGACCCTCGCAGCTCGATCCCGCTCAAAAAAAGCAGCAGAAACATGGGGTCCAGAGCTCTGGCCACGATTTCTAACGACGTCACGAATTTTCCCGCCGTCGGACCTCAGGGTAGGACGGAAAGGCGACACTTGCACCACCAGCCCGAGGCGCCAGTGCGGGTCCTCCTCGTGGTGTGGCTCCATCCCTCTCGCTGCGAGACATTCCCTTATCCCCTGTCCCCAGCTCGGGGAGGCATCGTGGACCTCCTCGCTGGAGGTGGCCCCCCTGGTGGTGGTGATGGTGGTGGTGGTGGTGGTGGGAGGGATGTTCGCAGTACTCGGGCCCGCGGGGCCCAACACGGCCGCAGTGGGACGCCAACTCGTCCGAGCCATGGACAATGGACCAACCCACCTGTCGAAGAATTATCCTGGCCAACCCTCTGGCCAACCCCTGTGGCGCGAGCCGAACATTGTTTCCCCCTTTCTTTTTATTTGCGTTTTCCCTCGTTCTTTCTGCGTTCCGCCAGTGCTTCAAAACGAGATCAGCACGAAAACGGCCCACGACATCGCCTAAGCAACGTTTAGCTCGCGCCCTGGGCCAACCCTGCCAGACACTGCACAATCCTCTGGCCGACCCCAGACAGCCCTGGCCCCTGGTCCCTGAGTATCGTTTCCCGATCCCCATCCCCAGCGGCGTGGCCTGGGCCCCACTGGCCGATTAACCCCCCTAGGTGGGAATACAGGCCGTTCCCTCCGGGTTTCGAAGGGTGTATCCCCAAGTGGGGTGGTGATTTCGTGGGGGTCTCGAAAGGGATGATGATGGGGATGGGGGTCAATTCAACGATACTCAGTCCTGGACACCCCGCCCGGCCCGTCCCTGGTTAGGGCAACTCGGCTCCATTCTGAAACCGATACCATGTCGCTACGTTCGCTGGGGCTTCCTTCCTGGGGAGGGTAAGTCCTCATCGGCTCCGGGTCGCGCTACGTCAAAGCCAACTGACCCGAATACAGACAAGTTCTAGGTGCCAGATGCAAATGTTCTAGGTGCCACTTACGGCGGTTTAGGTTTGACACCCCCCCCGGCCCGGCCCTGGTTCGGGTCGGGCGAAAGGGGGGGATAGCAAAGAGGGGGTTTGAGAATCAGCTCACGCAGCTGATTTTCCCGGCGCCGCCCGGCGCCGGAGGCGGCCATGTATCGAGGAATGGGCCCCTCGGTGAGGCCGAAACCAGCTGCATGCAGCAAATTTCGTAACCCCCCCTTTCCCAATCCCCCCCTTTCGTCTGGCCCGACCTACGCCCATCCCCCCTATCGTTGGGGACGGGGTCGGCACTACGCGGCTCTCAGGCCAGTCGAGAGGGGGCGGGCAGGGGTGGCTGACCCCCGCTGGCGCCCCTTAGATCCGACGGCGCTGGCGCCCCTTTCGTCCGGCCCCAACTGGTTAGGGCAACTCTTCCCTTTTCGGGGGCACAGCGCAGGGACCTCTGGGCCGAGCCCGCCGCCCTTGGGCCCTGGGTCGCACGCACGGCACTCTCCCGCCCGGGCCTGCGGGCCACACCTGCAGCGGGCCTAGGGCCCGCCCGGCCAGGATCCGTGCAGGCGTATAGCTGACGCCATCCGACGCGAGCCTGGGCCCCCCCCCCCTCCCACAAAAACGGGGCGGAATTGAAGAGCCGGTCCTGGAGAGTACCCCTGGGTGTCTAGGGCCAGTGTTAACTCAGAAGCCTCCTTTTGTGGCGGCGGGCGTATTGTTACAAAAGGAAACGCGGCGTCGGCTGCAGTGAATTGTCATGCGCCGTCGGAGCGGTGCATGACGATCAGCTCGTCACCACTGCTCGCCTCCCAGTCGAGCAGCTCTGTTTTATCGGCCGGGTTCACGTTCGGGTAGCGGTCCGCCTGCCTCCTCCAGCCCAGCAAGATGCCCCGGCAGCTCCGCCAGAGGCGATCCCGCAGGTCCAAGAAGGACAACTTCTCGCTCCCAGTCACGTGGCGGCCGACGGGAACCGCGACAATGTAACCGGCGGTGCTCCTCCGCTCTAGCAGTTGCTTGACGACGGCGAAACTAGTAGGCTGCGCCACCGCCATTGCCAAGAGACCGGCCTCCACCGACCTGGTGTACATGAACGAACACGTCTTCCGTACGCTGCCGTTGATCGAGATCACCTTTTCGGTCTCCGCGTCCAAGATTTCGGTGACGATCTTGCACCTGCCTGTCTTCAACTCGCTCAGAAGCGCCTTCAAGGCGATGGCCGTGGTCAACGACCGGGTGTCCGCGTCGATCGGGTCCTCGCCGTCCACCCTGTCGGCCAGGATGATGGCGCAACTGGCCTCCGCCAGAGGCAGCCGCGCGAGGTCGCCCCTGCGCGTGCTGTCGCCCACGTAGTGATGCACCTTCACCCGCTCGAGCCCGAAGCCCCCCTCCACGCTGACACCCGCATCGCCCATGTAGGCCTTCAGGGCCGCGTCGCGCCACTGCATGTCCCTCGTGGAGAGGAGGTGGACGGTGCTGCCGTCGGCCAAGTAGCAGTCCTCAATGGGGCAACGTTCGCGGGGGGGACTTGCCCGGGTAGTCGAAGCCAATTTGGCGCCAATCTGGCAGGCCCAATCTGGCAAACGGGGGCCATCTGGCGAGGGAGCCGACGCGAGTCCAGTCTGGCGAAGAACCCAAATCATCCAGTTTGGCCAGGCCAGATTGGCCCGTGGGGCCCAATCCAGTCTGACAGTCTGGCCTTCGACTACCCAGTCTCCCCCCGCGGGGCCATCGCTGACCTTGCGGGAACTAGCGGCGCACCCCTTCGAGCTTGAGCAGGAGCAGGAGGTGGGGTGAGAGGCATCCTCCCTCCTCCCTCCTCCTCCTCCTCCTCCTCCTCCTCCTCCTCCTCCTCCTCCTCCTCCTCCTCTGGCCTTCGCCTACCCAGCTTGCTCAGGAGGGGGGCGCGTCGACCTGCCATCGGCGATACCGCGCGGAGGGCTCGGCGACGGGCCCCCCCGATGGCGACACCGCGCGCTCCTGGGCGGGCTGCGCTGCAGAGGCGCCCCATCGGCGATCCCATGGCAGCCGGGGGATCGATGCCCCCCCCCCGAGGCTACTCCAGATTTCGTAATGAAAGGGAGGGGGTCTCAACCCTCCCAGACGAGAAGTTTCAGGCCCCCCCAGTGGGAGAACCCTCCAAAACATCGTCCCTAGACCCCCCCAGGCCCTCCAAGATAGCCTGGAAGAGACCCCCCCCCGAAGTGAGACCCCCCTCCCTTTATTACGAAATCTGGAGTATCCCCTCTAGCGTTCCCCCTGAAGTCCACGATCTCCAGGAAGTTGGGGAAGTCGTGCGGGCAGCCGATCATCACGACGGCCTTCGGCCCCTCGGCAGAGGGCCCCAGCTTCACCTGACCGTCCTCCTGCAGGACGTCCGCCGCTGAAGCGGCCGACGCCAGGGTCGCGTGCGTGCTGTGGGCCCTCCGCAGCGAGCGGATGTCAAGGTCCTCCAGGCAAGAGAGCACAACGCGCACAGCATCCGAGGGAGGGGGCTGGACGGCCTGGCACCGTCCTTGGGGTTGTGGGCGACCTGGGTTTCCGTGGCCCAGATTATGGTTGTTTGCTGTTTGCTGCCCCACGCCTGGAAAACAAGTATGGTTGACCCCCATCTGGTAACCACATTGTCTTCATTTGAAGTGTCCCCCCGCCCTTGGCCCCCGGTTTGCGTCGACCGCTGCCCAGGCCTGACACTTGTGAGTCCCGAAATATTCAGGAATCGCCCCTTCGTTCGAGACTTCCTTGCCGTTTGCCTTGGAATCGCGCCCTCGCTTGGGTCGCGCTTGCACTTTAATCGAAGGCTGCGCCTTGGACGTGTAGGAATCGCAATCTCGCAAAAGATGTCCTCTGAATTCGCTGGGGAATCGTGCTCTCGCCTGAGGCATCTTCACAATTTAAAGATTTCGCCTCACTGCCCCGCCCGCCCGCTCGGGCCCGCCCGCGCGGCCCGCCTGCAAGGGTTTGCCCGCCCGACCCGCCCAATTAGGGCCCGCCTGCCCGACCCGCCCATGAGGGTTTGGCTGCAAATCCTCCTGTACCTCTTTCCCCCCATTCCTGCGAAAATCTTGTTCTTCCCCAGTTCTCCTGCCTCCCGCTTGCCCCCCTCCCCTCTTGGTTCCTCCTGCCACCCCTCGCCGCATCTTTTTTTAATACTTTCTCCCACACCTTCCAAAGGGCGCACGGTCGAAGACGCGGAGGGTCGGCATCGAACGCTATGGGGGCATACGAGACGCGCGAGCACCGAAGAGCGCACGGCAGCCTTAAAAATCATTCGCTGCTGCTGTCGTCGTCGCCCCCCCCCCCCCGACCCACCCGCGACCAACCCCACGACCCACATCCGCGACCCACATCCACGACCCAGCCCGCGCCCACCCCCTTGCCCCAAGGGCGCGCTGACGGCGATGTTGGTGAACGGCGAGGTGGGGAATCCGAGCTCGCGCGAGACTGAGCTCGCGCAGAACCATCTGCATGAAATCAGGAACCACGCTTTCCTACATGTCAGATGTGCGAATGTATTGAGCGACGACGACGCAACGATTTGCAGGAAAGCGCGAACCACGACTTCCTACGATTGGTTTGGCCACGAACACTTCCCGCCCACAAGGCCGAAACCTACATCGCCGTTATCTCCACTGCCGTTGGCGCGTCTACGGTCGCATTTATCCGCGGCTGCGGGGTGCTGCGGGAACTTTCAGAGCTCCGCGCGAACCCCTGGGATCTGCGCCAAGCCCCCCCTTCCTGGCGCGCGGAAAGCGCCCAGGGCGGCGCCAGAGGCGCCGGCAGGGGGGTGCCCAGCGCCGATCTTATCCGCGCGGACCGCCGACAATGTGTGTTAAGCTGTGGTTCTTCCTACGCCGTCATTTCTGTTCGACCCCCAGAGGCCTCGACCCATTCTTCGATACCAACTTTTCATCCTGAGCCGTTCTGTGACGGCCCCGGGCCCAGGCCAGGGCCCCCAGAGCCGAGCATGCAACGCGACTGCCAGTCTCACCACCGGATCCTCGACCTTCGGCAGTAGCTTCCCGATCTCGACCCGACCACGAACATCGATCTAGCTCTAATTAGGGCCCAGTTTTAAATAAGGCTCCGCGCTAAATATGTCGTCACTAAATATAAAGCGATCGCCTTAAACAGTTCGTCGTGGAATGCATCGTCGTCATCAGCGTCGCAACGCTCGAAGAAGGACGCGCGGCCTCCCACTGCAGAAGGCGCGCCCCCTCGAAGCAGGAGGCGCCGCCTCCTCCTCGCCCCTAAACCGCGGCGCGCCCCCCCGCACACTTTGCTGCCCGCGCGGCCGCGGCCGTCGCGCCAGCCGCGCCATCGGCTGCGCGCGGGTGCGCCCGATGACCGATCGGGAGAAGCCCGTCGCCGTAAGCATGGAGCCGCGCCTCTTCGCCACGTGCCCCGCGCTGCCCCCGAAGCCCTCGCCCCTGCAGGTCCAGCGCAGCGACGGCTGCCCCCCCGCGAGGCCATCTCGAGGAGCAGGTGCGCCGTCGGCTTCACGCGCCAACTTGTCGGCCGCAGCCGTTGAAGAGCGGCAAACAGGGCCGCGAACCTGCTAGCAGAGTGGCGCATCAAATCACGCCTGAAGATGCACCTGCCGCTCACAGCGTGGTAGTAGCAAGTGACGCATCAAGCGACGCGTCGCACTCAACGCGGCGTCGTCGACGGCACTCCCAGAATCGCAGTAGGTCTCGGCAGCTTCCTTGCAGAAGGGGATCAGATGCCTCAGAATGGCCGCCTGGCCGCGAAACTTCGGGCGCGCTTTCTTGGCCGTCACTGCGCGCTCGCTGAAGTCATGCAATCTGTCGGGCGTCTCGTTGGCATCGTAGGGCGCCTGGATGAGCCCCCACATCTCGTCGCTCTTCTCCTGGCGGTTGCGCACCGGGAGCTTCTCCAGGACATGCCGCAGCAGCGCGGCCGCAAAGTCCGCCCCGACTCCAAGGTCCACGGCGCGCAGCTAGTCAATCTTGAACACGTCGATGGCGATGCCAGGCAGAACCGGCGCAGGCGAGACGGGCCCCCCGCTCCGCAGAACGACGGCGATGAGGTCCGCCAGCGAACGCCTGCGCGCGGGCGTCGCCCACAGAGAAGTCGTCGACGTCAGCGTAGTCACCTGGGAGAGGGGGCGGGGGCGGGGAGGCATGCCTCCTCCTCCTCCTCTTCCTTGAGCTCCCTCTCCTCTTCCCCCCCTCTTCCTCCTCCTCGTCCTCCTCCTCCTCCTCCTCCTCCTCCTCCTCCCTCACCTCCTCTTCCTGTTCCCCCCCCCCCACCCCTTCCGCGCCCTCCCCCCTGCCCCCCCCCGCCATTTCCCCGCCCCCGCCCTTTCCTCCAGCCCCCCAGTCGCCTCCTCTGGCCGCGCGTCGCACTTCCAGCAGCATCCGGAGGCCGAGTTCCAGGCAGGGGAATCAAACATATCTCCCCATGCCTTCCAGTCTGCGCGGAATTGCACGAGGGCGCCTCGAGCTGGCATCGGGGGGCCTGCGAAAGCCATGCGATCGCGCTGTGCTTTGTTGTTCTTATCTGAAGGGCACGAGAACGGGGCGCCGTCGTGGCGCGCGCAAGGGCATGACCCCCACCGCAGAGACATGAAGCTCCAGCGCACGATGCCGAAGACGTCGTTCCAGGCGTCCGTGGACGCGAGGGATTTCATAATGCTGAACAAAGGGGCCCTCGCGTGGCCGCATGGCCCGTTGGGATCAAGACCAGGGGGGTTCATGCTCAGAACCTCCACCGACGCAGATCTGTCCCACTTCGTGGGGGCCCCGTCCTGCCACAGCCCGAGCGCCACCGTGGGGCCGTGGAGCCTCGCCACAACGTTGCCCACGCGCGCGCGGTCGCCCTCGTCCAGCCCGCCCCTCTGCAGCAGCACGTCCAGACTGCCGTGGGCCGCCAGCGCGCGCAGCACCTCGCGCGGCAGTGGGAGGGGCACCTCCTTCTTCGCCCCCCGATGTCGCTTCGGGCTCCACGCGCGGATCTCGGCCGCGTACTCCTTGGGCCAAAGCGTTCCCATCGAGAACTTGGTATTCAAGCGCCTCGCCGCGCTCGGCCCCCTGGGGTCGCCTCGACGGCCGCCCGCGCCCACGGAGCCCCCTGCCCGCGCATCGCCTGCCAACGATTGAATCTCGCCCGCGGACAAGCGCTGCATGAGCGACTGCAGATGCGCGCAGGCGCTTTGCAGGCGGCAGATCGCTGGTGTCTACGGCTGGCCGGCGTTTGGACAACGTCGCGGCCCGCCAGCCCCGCGCCTCGCCCGCCGCTCCTCGAGCCAAAACGAGCTGCGGCGGAGATCTGCGATCTGTGGCGGCGGTGTCTGTCCTACCCCTCGCCGTCGTGACCGCGTCGTCGTCGTCGTCGTCGTCGTGGGCGCCCCCCCTGGCCGCCCCCAACTCGCGCGCCTCATATCCTCTGGGGGGCCCCGCCCCCTCGCCAGTCACGTCAGAAAAATGCGCGCGGTCGTCTTGCTCGACGAGCGAAACTGCGCCCGAACGCGGCGATTCCATCTGCCTGACGGCGCGTCCTCGCCCGAGCGAGCACGCGCAGGAGGGCGGCCGCCTCCTCGCGCGCGTGTTTTTCTCTGCCGTGCGCCGCGCTCCCTGCAGGTAGCGGGGATGGTGTGTCTTTCCGCTGCAATGCTGCTCCCGTTCTCCCCCCCGCCCTCCCCCCCTCGGCTTCTCCCCCTGATGCGCCTGCTGCGCCCCCCCCCCCGCCGCTGCCCCCCCCCCCCCCCCCCCCCAGCCACCAGCCATGCCACCCCCGCCCCTCCCCCCCCCCGTCGCCCAGCCCCGCGCGCGCCCTCTGCCCTTCACAGCTTCCCACCGCTCCACGCTGATCTTGCCGCCGCCCAGGGGCTTCTGCGCAGCATTCAGCGCCTCCGTCAGCTTCTTCGTCATGCTCGTGATGATCGCGTCGTCGGGCTCGCCCTCTGGCACGCGTGCCGCCTCGGCAAGAGCTGATCCGCTTCGTCCAGGAATGCGCGCAACGCCGTATGAACGGCCCTGATCTCCTCGAGGTTGCTCGCCCACTTCTGATCGTTTGCGCCGCGCTTGCTCATCGCCAGGAAATTGTTCGCGAGGTCCTTCACGGTGGTCTCCTGCCCGCGCAGGGCGAGGCTCTTCTGCCTGCGGGGGGCAGGGGGGGGGGGGGGGGCGGAAGGGGGGGGGGCCAGAGGGGTGCTGGAGCGGGGGAGGAGGGAAAAGGGATTGCAAAAAGCCGAAGACGACAGAGAGGAAGGCGGAGGCAAAGGCAGGGAGCAGCGTTGCAGCCCCCCCGCACCTGAGCTCATCTCGGAGAAGGGCGGTTTGATACGGTGGGTTTGCACGGCCCCGGTAGGTTCTGCCCAGGCGACGATCAAGAACGGCGCAACCGAAACGCATGGAACAACTCCGCCGCCGACTGCGCACACCGCGCTGCGCAAGCGCGAACGGCACTTCGTTTCCAAGTAAATGCT